TGTGGGGACGGCGGTGCGGGACCTGACCCGCAGCCAGGAGATCGGCGTGAAGCCCCTGTCCTGTGGCTCGGCCCAGATCTGGCAGCACGGCACCAGCCTCATGAATTACCTGCGCATGGTGAGGGGGTGTTGGGGGCCCTGCGGGCCACGCGCAGCCTGCGGGGGGTGGGAGGAACCACTGTTCAAGGCCCCTCACCTCCAGACCTCCCCAGTACATCACAGCCCCGGGTAAAACAGCGATCTGTGGTGACCCCATTGAGGGGATCATTGGTCACAGTTGTTCCCTAATCCCTAAAAGCCACTGAGAATCCATGGCAAGTTTGTTTACAGGGCAATGGACCTTGAGCCTTAGACTGTTAGGGGGTCTCTGGATTCCAGGCCTGGAACTTGACCCCTTGGCTCAGAGGTGGTCCCTGCAAAGCTCTGCACAAGTGGGGACAGATGGATGATGCTGTCATAGACTGTGGCCCCTCAGGGAGTTGCAGGCTCAACACTTCTGGCCTGATGCTGGGTTCCCCCAGGGTTCTCTCAGCCAAGCCACCTCTGGTGGGATGGACGTGATTCTAGCCCACGAAGAAGCCATCTCCTGTCAGAGGAGCCTGGGGGAGAGCAGCTAGGATTTTGCAGTTAGAGTCGGGTTATCCTGCAGCTTGGAGGTGGGTGAGTAGCTGCCCAAGGAGGATAAATGCTATTCACAGCCAAGGGCCTGGAGGAGGAGCTCAGGGGGATCTGAGCTCAAGCTAGCATCTCAGCGTCAAGTTGGTTTATGCAGCAGCTGTGAGGTCATTGGGTGTGGGCCATCCTTTCCTCCTCTAGCCCCAGCCAAGTCTGAATTGGTTCCAGAGACATCACTTGCATAGTCTGAAGATCCTGTGGCTGAGAGGTGGACAGGAGAATGGATCTTGTTGGCTTCCCTTCTCTTGGGCATCCTTAACCAGCATGGTGGAATGCTTGCTTGGGGCCACATGGAAGGCAGGGCCTATTTGGTGCTGTAACTCACTCTCTCTTGGACAGGTAGAATTGGAAGGTCTCACCGGCCACATTGAATTCAACAGCAAAGGCCAGAGGTCCAACTATGCCTTGAAAATATTACAGTTCACAAGGAATGGTTTCCGGCAGGTAAGCGTAGCCATGCCGCTGTGGTGGCAGATCCCTCCTCCTTGTTCCTTTCTCTGTCCCCAGCCCATTTCTCCTTGGCACTCAGGATGGCCTCCTGCTCTGAGTTGTCCCCAGGAGCAGCAGGCTGTGTCCAGTGCGAGGCTCCTGGCAAGTCCTGGCTTCCCCCTTCCTGCACCAGGATCAGCCAGTGTGGGTCAGGGACCGCCGCCCCAGCAAAATGCCAAGAGAGAGGCAGCCGTGCTTTATCGGGGGAGAGGCGAGACAAGGGAGCATCGTATAAGGAGGGAATTCCCAGGTCTTTCCACTCTTTGGATTATTCTACTCCCTGAATCTCGCCCTAATCCTGGAACCAGGGTTAGATTCCAGGTTGCTTGCCCGTCACGTTACAGATCAGATCCCACAGGGCTGAGGAATCCCTTCGGCGTTCAGTTCTCTTCTGTCAGCTCTTTTCTGACCAGCCCATCCACACCCTTCTGCCATGCCAACCACACCTCCCCCTCCTGGCTGCTCCCTGTCCCCTCCGCCAGCTCAGGATGCTTTGTCCCCTGGAGCTCCTTTCAACTCCCTCTTCCTTTCTCATTCTCCATCAACCTTCTCACTCCCCTTTCCTCTGATTCTCTTACATCAGAGGAAACAGGGACTCTGGCAGTCACTCCAAGTGCCTTTCTGAAGGTCTTCCAACCTCCCCATCACTCTAATAATCAACTCTTTATTCTTAGTGTATCCTTTCTCCAACCTTAAAGAGCCTTAGAGGTAGGAAAGGATGCACTAATTAGAGCAGGAAGCAGACATACTGAAGAGCCTCCTGCCTATCAGAGTGGCTGACCGAGGAAACGTACCACTGAAGGGGGTCACAGAATCACCTTTTCAGGAGATTATGAAGGATCATCACCATCGTCTTCACCACCACCATCACCGTCACCACCATCACCATCACCTTCACAACCACCACCACCATCACCATCACCACCATCACCATCACCTTCACCACCACCATCACCATCACCACCACCACCACCATCACCGTCATCTTCACCACCACCATCACCGTCACCACCATCACCATCACCTTCACAACCACCACCACCATCACCATCACCACCATCACCATCACCTTCACAACCACCATCACCATCACCACCACCACCACCATCACCGTCATCTTCACCACCACCATCACCGTCACCACCATCACCATCACCTTCACAACCACCACCACCATCACCATCACCACCATCACCATCACCTTCACAACCACCATCACCATCACCACCACCACCACCATCACCGTCATCTTCACCACCACCATCACCGTCACCACCATCACCATCACCTTCACAACCACCATCACCATCACCATCACCACCATCACCATCACCTTCACAACCACCATCACCATCACCACCACCACCACCATCGCCGTCATCTTCACCACCACCATCACCGTCACCACCATCACCATCACCTTCACAACCACCATCACCATCACCACCATCACCATCACCTTCACAACCACCATCACCATCACCATCACCACCATCACCATCACCTTCACAACTACCATCACCATCACCACCACCACCATCATCACCGTCATCTTCACCACCACCACCATCATCATTATCGCAGGAGCTTTCATTTATTAAGCTCTTACCATGGGCCGTTTACCACAAGAAGTGTGTCATTTGTATTTTCTCATTTAATCCTACAAAGTAGTTACTTTTTATTAATCCCCATTTTACAAGTGAGGAAATTGAGGCTCCAGGAGACTGACCTTGGCCTTGAACAATGTAGTAATGGCAGTTGGTTTTGAACTCAAGTACCTCTGATTCTAAAGCCCAAGTTCTTAACCATTATGACAAATTGTGCATCAGAATAACCTTGGTAATTTGTTTAAAATGCAGAATTTTTAGACTCCACCCCACAAGGATCTGATTGGGTAGACCTAGCAGAGGGCCCAGGAATGGCTGCAACATTAGGCACCCAAGGTGATCCGGGTGATACCCTGGGCTGCGCTGGGAGGGCCGTCACATCTGCATCCTTCCCCTCGGTCCTCGTGCCTGAAAGGCTCCAATTCAGCCCTTCTCACGGGAGCCAGTGGAGTTCCTTTTAGTAGGACAGTGATTATGCTGGGCCACGAGGCCAGGTCACCCTTCTTGGAAGACGAGAAAGTAAAAGACAGGAGTCCCAGACCAAGAGAGGAGCTATGTTAACGACTCCTCGTAGCTCAGGGCCGGAGCTCCGTGATCTTTAAGCAATGACATCAGCAACCTTTTTACATAACTTCCCAAATGGGGTGGGAGTTAGGTAGGCGGCCAGAAAATATGGGATGGAGGATCACAAAATGGTCATTTCATGTATGTAACAAATCATGTACTGACCCCTTCCTATGAGTCAGGCACTGTGCTGGGCATGCAGGAAACAAAACCAAAAAGGTACAGTCCCTGCACCAAGGCAGCCCATACTCTGGAGAGAGAGACTGACGGAAAAAATAAGTGCAATTTGGGTTATTAAACTCCAATCATGCCCTCGGGCTCATAATTCTCGGAACAAAGGAAGCCGCCTGCCTGTAGGAAAATTGTCAGGCAGACTTCCTGAGTCCCAGTGGGAGATGTGAAGTAAAGAACATTTATTCATTTTTTCAATATATATATTTTGAGTGCCTGTAATGTGCCAGGCTATCTTCTAGACAGAGGTGAAAAATGGGCTTAGTGTCTGCTTCCGTGGAGCCTGTATTCTAATAGGGGACAGACAGCAGGCAAACAAATACTATATAATACATCAGTAGGGGTAAGTGCTACAGGAAAAGTGAAACAGGGTCAGGAAAAGGAAGGGATGAGAGAATGATGGGGAGAAGCAGCAGTTAGGGGAACAATGCCAAGCCCAGATCACCTCCATAGAAAGCCCAAAGCTCAGGCTTTGAAAAACGCCCCTTGGTCTTCAGCCCTGCTTTGAGATGCTCCCTGGAAAGAGCCCACTTCCATCAGGCAACGCCTGCGGTGACAGAGTTGGCTGGTGGCTCCGATCCCACCCTCTACTTGAAGAACAGCTCATTAAGCTCGGAATACGTCTTCACCTAACCTGTGCCTCTCCACCAGCCGCCACTCAGGCTGGCTTTCCCAGCTGCCAGGCTGCAAGACCGCCTGAGTCATCAGGAAATAGCATCGCCAGCCACCAGCACCCATCCCTCAGCCCCACCCCAGTCCAGCAAGGGGTTCTGCTCGGAGGCATCCTACACAACAGCTGCTGCCCCTTATTCCGCAGCACCTATGGAGGGTAGGGCTTCTCAGACCCGGGTGTGCACAAGAATGACCAATGGTGCTTGTCTTAAAATGTACGTTCCTAAGCCCTACAGCTATAAATTGAGTTTGTAAAACTGGGTGCATTCCAGGAATCTGTGTCTTCTTAACTAGCACTCAGATAGATGATTGTCATGCTGGTGGTCCACAGGCTGCCCTTTGACAAAGACATACTGCAGCCTCTATGCATAGAACTTTTTCTTGACCTTCCTGCATCCTACTCCCATCTTTCTGAGCTAATGTTGAATGGAATCTGCTATAGAAGTGACCGTTAAAGAGGATGATGTTTTCGACCTTCAGCTACCCTAAGGGGCGCACATCCTTGACTGGACTTATAAAGTGAGTCACAATAATCCTCTTTACTACCCATTCTTCTTCAACAAATCTGGTGACCGTACCACTGCTTTCCTGTCTGGCTCACGTGCCGTGAGTAGCAGTGAGAACCCTGCAAGATGTATCATGGGCACAGATAAAGCTTTGCAGCTCTGGTCCCCAGGTCCCATCCCAATCACCGACCCAATCTTTGCCTCTTGACAGCTGTCCTTCCCCTGCTTCTCACAGGATGAAGAAATGATTTGGGGACTGATAATTAATTGGGCTTCTGTTCCAGCGTAGGAGGAATGTCAGTATCACTCTCTGATATTCTCCCAATTCCGTCCAAGGTGATGCTGGCAGGGGAGGGGAGAGTGACAAGGAGCATCCCTCGAGGACCTGTTGTGTAGCAGAAGCTACATGGGTACTTTGCACAGGTCACTTCTGATCTGGAGGACAGCCCTTCAAAGGAGATAAACTCCCATTTCACAAGTGAGGAAATGGAAGCTCAGGGATGGTAGGTAACTTGGCCCAAGTCCACAAGTAGCAAGGACTCTGGGCAGAGCTGGAATTCACACTCAGGCTTGTCCAACTCCCAAGCCCATGCTCATGGGTCTCCCTCTCCTGGCTTTTCTCACTTTCCTGGAATCCCTAAGCCCCCAAATCAAAACACTTTGCCACCTGCTGCAAACCAGGACAGAGCCTGGCTCCTGGTGACCTGCTGGGCTGGGCTTTCTTTAGTAATGGTATCTTCTCATTTGGATTTGGTTTTTTTTCTTTCTCTTCCTATCCGGGTGAGTGACTATTAAGAGCTGGGTTTGACTATTTAGAAAGCACCATGCAGGGACCCAGTGGGTTGTAATGGTAAAATGTCCGAACCAAATACCATATTCTCTGCCAGTGACTGATGAAGGGATTATTACCACTTTAAAAATAGTTTTTTAGAATTTAGGGTTTTTTTTTTTACCATTCAAAAAAATTACTGTTTTGATTCTGTTTGGAGAGGGTTTTCCATCTTGGAACTCTGTGGAGCTTCCACTGGAGCCTGTTTGGGGGAAAATGTTCGTTACAGTGTCCTGTAAGTGACACGTCCAAACCTGGACCAGGTTCACTATCTCCAGCCCCCAGTTTTTGCCCCCAGTGTGAGTTATCTCATCTCCATCCCATATTGTCCTTCCCCATCCCACAAAAGATGTCCTGGGTGGTATTGGAATAGTATAATCTCCCTTCCTAATTTGCGAGAAATCATATTTGAAAGAGGCGAGGGAAAAAAAGCACAGCCTTAGAGGGCCCTTAATCTCCTTCATTTTAACTTGGTTTAAAGATCAGAGGTTCCAAGCAGGCCCCCAGCGACTTTGTTAGGGCTGTAATAAGATGAGCACACCTTTC